ATAGTCACGCTCGACTGTATAGCAACCTACAGTTACTTCGAGAACCACCAGAGCAACTGTTCCACTAAACCCACAACGCACATAACAAGGATCCTTGGCCACATCAGCACACCGCTCATGAACTTCTCTCAAGGTTGGTAAATGGCTTCTGTAGAAGGGTGTATTGAACAGACGACCAAAGCTGCTGGCAACAACACTCCCCACGAGGCAACCTTTTAACCTATCGTGCAATCCACCTTGCCAGTCACCTTGCCAGATAATGTGCTGAATGGCATCCATTGTTCCGGGCGATGGTGGTGGCGATGTCGATGTTGATGATAAACGAACATTTTCGGGTTCACATCCAGACATGTTCTATCGACTACTATATAAACTGCAGCAAAACTGACAAAACTTCAGTTGCACGTTTCGTTTTCCCTAACTGTTTCTTAGCTGTCTAAATTGCGTCCGTTTATATATCCTGCATTACCATGGACCCTGCTGAGGAAAGGCGTCGAGCGATATGCGTTGTCATTACGATTGCTTTTTTTGGTAGTCTGCTAGCACTTGTTCTGATTTTATCGGGCATTACTTTTGGAACCGTCACCACTTTTCTACCCTATCGGCCATCAGCCGCCGCCAGTATCGACGAAGCCAACACCACCCTGGACTTTACTTTCAATAACGACACAATGCCAACATTCAAGTTCATGATCAAAGGGCTATGGTACGTAACCGTATGGCACAGTAGTAAAGTCATCTAAGATGCGTCGTTTGTCGTACGTCTTTTTGAACCGCTTTGTCATAGGCACATCTTGGATTTCATATGTCCGTTTCTTCCGGCGAATAGTACTACCATATGTGACGGAAAGGGACTCGGGCTGAACGTTACCATGAGCGCTATCGGAGGCGGTCTCATCTTGGAGAGGTTGGGTTGCGATTTTCAACATCGAATCAAAATTCAACACCGTTCCTGTAAGTTTATTAATTTCAAATCCTTTGATTTTACAGACCTCCTGCCCAGATGCCGTAACGTAGCTGTAAGATTTTGGACCAGTACTACAGAAGCGCGTAATGAAGTCGTCCTCGGCCAGCTCATTACTTAACATCCCCAGAGTGGACCCGGTTTCAAACGGCTCATCACCTGGACGCTGAACAAAGATAATGCTGTCCTACAATTTAAAAACTATGTTTTTTCTCGTTTCTTCTAGTTTCATATGCTTTACGCTAATGCTTTAGCTCTTACCGTATCAAAGTATAGTAATCGCTCGCCAGCTCTTTGCATGAATTTCAATAAATGTAATCTTGCGTGTGCCGTTGTAAACCTGACAGCAAAAAATAAGTACAAGTCTAATTTACCTGATTTAAATGAAGCACTAAAACTGAAACTATTATCACTTACGCTGCTAGAACCACGTTCGTTTTCGGGTTAGTCGGAACCATAGCATCCTTCCTCGTGTACATTATTTGTACAACGTCATCCGAAAATACGTCATAATCATGGATTTCGAATTCTGAAGACGTTAAATAGTGCAGAAAATCCTTCACAGTGTTCACGAAAACTGTGCTGAGAAGGTTATTTCTCATTCCCAGCCGGCCCCAAAAGCTGTAAACACCATAGCATAAATTACTAATACTACAACTACTCTTAGTGTATGACCGACACCAAACAAACAAAAAAAATCAAGCACTAACCTGTTCAGGCACAACTTAGCGAGCTGCCGCAGTCCCGGATTCCAGCTTATTTTGGAACCGTCCAACCGGATGCCTTCCGTTTGGAAAAAGTGGTCCAGAAACGCATCTTGCTGCTCTGGAGTTTTAATATCAGCCGGCCAGCCAGAAGCTTGCACTTTAAGCGCCAGGAACAAATCAATATAATCAGCAAAAAAGCGCTCTCTGCTGTCGGGATAGTGCCATACTTCGTGAATTTCCATTAGTTCATAACCATTTTTCACGGCTTCTTGTAGTTCTAGTGTGCACCAAGTCCCCGTCAGAGCTCTTTGCTCCGGATCCTCGTGCGTGCAAACTTGCTGATTCTTTTCTTCAGCGCAGGTGCGGCATAACGTGAAAATCAGTTTATCGAAATGCGCCGGTAATATCGGTATCATCAGGTTGCGAGGCGGTAATATTTTGCAATGCATAATTCCGAAATAGTTATCCAAGGTTTTAAAATTATTAGTAATTCTTTTATGCTTGCCAACCGGATAGCGCTTGTTTTTATTGACATATGGATATTCGGATACAACATCCAAGTACATTATCTTCTCTCCAGGCTTGACCTTATAGTCTAACACTAGGGCATTTACTCGTCCTCCGAACAATGCTTTTCTCGGGTCAAGCGGTTCAACAATCCGTATGTTCTTTATAGCAGTAGCAAAATTAGCGTCGTTTTTAATGCGACTGTCATATTCACATTCCCAAACGCTCACAATATTGATTTTAAGCTTTTTCAACATTCCTTCGCGCCGTACGGTTCGCTCGTACAACTCACCCATTGTGGCGTCCTGATGCGGGTGGCGTGTACTTGGATTCGTGCATATTGGATGGCCATGGTGCACGCACCCATAAAATTCATATGCAGTTCGACTTTCCAGATGGTACCCATCAATGAATAATGCACCAATTTTGAATTCTCGCTCCAGTTCAATACCTTGGCTCTGACTTATACACTGTAACCATGAATTGGCTTTATTGGAGGATATTCTGTTGCTGGGCATACGAATAACCTCAACTTCCAAAGGCTTTAGCAGCCTGGACCTCCAAAAATAATGACAAACACTTGGAAGGGTTAAACCGGATTGAAAAATACATAGTCCATCCGTAATTTTGAAAAAAGTTCGCGCAGCTGCATTGCACAACAACGTAGCGTGGTCACGTCTTGGTGGCAATAGGCAGCCAGTTCCTTGTTGACGTCATACAATCCTCTTTTAAAGCTTTGTCTTCATTATAGAATTCCATAAATGCATGTTTTTCTTTATCGCTCATAAATCGGTAGTTGAACTTTTCAATGTCCGGATAGTCAATAACTGTGTTCCAAAATTGTGGTCGGTTCAGGACATGTGGAAATTTACCTTTAGTTTCCTCAACGGCGAATGATTTCGCCCAGTTGTCCAATGACAAAGGAACATAATTGAGCGTATCCCGAAAGTTAATGCCAAACTCCCGATCGCGCAGGTGCGTGATTTGGGAACCTTTCATGATAACGTCAGGCGCTTGACCTTTCTGAAGCAGCCATTTTAAAATAAAATAGCCATCGAACCTAGAAAGCCCACCACTTTATCCGTAAGCTGTATACTTTCAACGTATTTCATGTTGTGTGAAACAGAAGAAGAACTAAAATTTCTTACCCTCTAAAGTTATGTGCCAAACAAAAGAATCCAGCATGCTTTTCTTGGAAAATAAATTCACAGACATCGCCTGCAATGTCTTTGCCAATGTTGCTGATGTCCTCGGGAAATTGGCGGGTTTCAATGGGCTTTCCATCTTCTTGCACTTGTATTACACAAAAATTTGGGATGTGCTTTCCACTACCGTCGGGGTACGTCTCGAAATCAAAGTACATGAAACTAGCAGATTTGTGCTTGGCTAATACTTTGTCGTCAAGTTTCTCGGGTTTAATATAGCAGTCATGGTGCTCCGGTAATACATAACACAGGCAAACCGAACAATAAATTTCGCCGCATACATGGTCTGTCCCGTATCCTCGTTTCACGTTCGTCTTTATGAATGCTGAGCAATCTATGCAGACCTTGAATTTTTCGCAAATGCTTTTCTTTTTGTTATGGTTTGTGCTTTTCGCTGTCTTTGCAAGGTGGTGGTTAAAACACTCGTTGTTTCTAAAGCCCGTTCGATTGCATCCCGCACAGTATCGCGCAAAGTTTGCTTCGAGCTCACACCTTTCGCGCAAGCAAAGCTTGCAGGTATATTTACAGCGATGATCACCTTCGTGAGAGTACCCCTGATTACAATGAAAACACCATTTGCTTTTTTCGTACCACCCTTGAAGAGATGTTAAAACGTCAAAATGGTTGGCATAATACAATAGCATTAAGCGTTTTTCCCTGAATTCGCCAGCAAAGATAATGCTGTTAAGCTGTTCCAGTCCAACAATTATGATTTGATAATCGCTTAGTAACTTTTGAAAAGTCTCTACGTCGTCCAGGCTGTAGCGCCGCTCCGTCAGGCCTGCAGCTATTACCAGCTGTTTCGCCAATAATGTCTGCTGATCCTTATGCTGCTTTTCTGGGTGCTTATGTGCCCTGGTGTCACGTAGCGTTGAATACAGCTGCAGATCGTCATCTGCTAAGGCTTTAGCCGTTACTAGGGACCGTGGTAAACATAAATTATCGTCGTTCTTTATGCGCACGATAGACATCTTGTTTTTCAGTAGCCTTTTAACGCTTTCAGGAATCACTAGATTGTCATTACCTCCACCATCCGGCGTTTCTGTGTACTGGACTTCAATCCTGAAGCTTTCATCCAAGCGAAAGCTTGTTGAACTTTGCATCACCCGTTCCACGCGCGCCATGATACGATCCACAGTTAGTTCGTCCCGCCGCATTAACGGTGTCCAAATAGGAATCTTCTTTCGCAAATGATCGCTGTATAATTGCACGCGTACCATATACCAAGGCTGAATTTTGTCTACCAAAATTCTGTTAAGCAGTTCTTCAAAAATGCTTTCTATTACTCCACAGAGGCGTGAAAACGGAACATCAAACAACTCGGGCGCGATGCGGCACTGAAAAACCGCAAGTGCAGTTTTCCATTTCTGAGAATAAGTATCTGCTACCTGCTCAAGTAGCAGATTATCTTCTGAAATGCTAGGGATGCTACCTAAGCCATCTTCTTCTTCTTCTTCTTCGTGGTTGTCAGAATGCTCATCCATTTTTCGCTCAATAAACACAACTTGTAATGTGTACACAGCTAATGAACTCAAGAGACTCCTTCGAATTATGATTACCCTGCTGAATGACGTTCACGGCTTTATATACTTGTTATTCTTATTAAAATCGGTCAAGTTCTAACACGCCTTATCGACTAACAGCAAATCGTAAACAAGGGCTACCCACCACCCGCGAAAAAAAAAAGAAGAAAGCTAACAGAAGTCAAAGTTTGTGACCAAAGGTTACAAAGCATAATCAAGCATACGTAAACTAGTTCCTTTGCCAAAACAAGATTTTGCGTCTATCAACAACCTTTGATGTGCCTGGTGACACAATTTACAGAAACAGTTAATCATACGTGGAAAAGCCATACCGCGTGCAGCTAGTAGTAAACGTAACATATAGTACCGAAATTCGTTGAGGTAGCCAATGTTCATATCGTCTCCACAAATACGCACTGCACTGTAGATTGAGAACGCGTCGTTGGATGTCACTTTGCGCATGATGCTCTCCACTGCATCGATCCCGCGGCAGTCCAGGCGTGTTAACCAGTACTCGCAGATTGTCCGCCAAACCGTACGTAGATGAGGCGTAGTCCTCAGATGGGGGAGTGGATCCTTGGAGGTCAGATGGAAAGTGTCCAGCAATTCCTCGGCGACATGGATGACATGGTGAGGCTGGTTTGCTCCACGAGCGAACAAAGCATTAAGCTTAAGATATCTACAACGTACAGAGCGATTAGTACAACGCAGCACGACTCTATGACTAAAGCTTAAAAGAATGATACATACGATTTCTCCGTTCTCATCCACCCGCACTCAAGGTACGACATGTCCGAGTGCACATATCCAGGAATAAGATGGCGGAATCCGTAGACATAGACGTCCTCCAACTCCAGCGTGTTTATCCATTCCACGGTCTCCAGAATCGCCCTAACACTCATGAAACCTCCCCTAACGGTGATATGGCGCAGCTCCGGTGCAACGTCCTGCAGAACCAGCAGTACCGTGCAGAAATGGTCGTGCATATGATTGATGTAGGCCCCGTTGCTTTCCCTCATGTCAAAGGTGATGCATTTCGTGCGGTTGGACACTACGCAAAACAGCTTCTTGCTAAAATTTCGAACTTCACAGTACAACCTGTCACACGGAGGATGGATGCCTTCATTGGTGTAGTTATCCACATCCGAAGCTTTGAAGATGACCTCGGGTTTGGAAGCTCGGGCAGCTATTTCTTCTTCTGCGTAGAAGTTGAACGCCGATGAAACCCGCTTCAGATGATATAAGTCAATGGGGGTCATCAAGGAAACGATGTACTTCATCGTGTCCTGCTGGTAAAATGGAAGCCCGCATCCATCCGGTTCGGTGTACTGTCGCAACCAGTTCCTGGTGGGTGTTGCCGACGTCCAGATGTCCCTGGCGCCTTGCGCTTCAAGACTGTCCGCTGCATTGCCGGCATACACCGTCTCCACGCCGTCCCTCCATGTGCACATCGCACAACCAAGGTCGCCTGGTTCTCCGGCTGAATTGGGTCGCTTCCGGGGGGACGTGGCGTACCACTTCAGTACACCCTCCAACTGGTGATCGAAGCAGTGGAGAAAGCGGTTGGAAACTCTTGGGAGTTGGAAATCCTTGAACACCTCCTTCGGCACCGGTTGACATTCGGGACACGCCTCCGTAACAATCTGCTCTTCTTCATCGCTGTCATGAAAACACTTGCAATATTTACAAGGAGAACCTTCTAGCTGAATGCTACGCTTCATTGTAGTGACTTATTAAGCAAATGACTTACAAAAACTGGAAATGAGCCGTTCGTGCGTTGCGTCGAGTGCTTTTATATACCTAGCTGTATAGCATTGCTAGCTTGTACTTGATTGGCTTGATATGGTATTGATTGTTAATTTTTTTTCAATATAATTATGCAGATATCTTGATTAAACGGACTAGAATTACTTGGCATAAACGTTGGTACATTAGTTCAAAGTTTGTTATTTTTTTTCAAACATTTTGTACGAAAACATTATTTATCCTTAAACTAATCGCTATTACTCAGAATCCAAGTCCTCTAGTGCTGACACATATTCAGCGTTCAAGTCTTCTATGAACACCACCGCCTCATACTTTGCCTCCTGGAACTTCTTCACGTCCTCGGCTTTAAACCCGTTTACGTAGCAATCCACCATTGCCTGGATGCAGGTACGTTTTGGAACTTCGTCATCGGCTAGCAGGTTTTCGCGCACACAAGTGTCGAATTCTGATTTCAGGTCAGCCGCCATGGAAGCCAACTCCCTGAACCCATTCTGAACTGGAACCTGGCACAGGCTCTTAATCATCATATCTCGAAAGCCTTTTTCATGCTTCATCACCAACTACAGAAGAAAAAAAATCAACCATACAACATAACCATAAGTCCATTCCAAACCATATAGAACTTACGTCTTCGAATTGGTTATCAGTTTTGTCAAAACGTTCAGGATACATTGTTGAGCCATCCTCGCTGGTTATGGCTCCAGCTTTACCTTCGTTGACCTTTCGTTTCTTGGTCAACGGCTCTGGCTCACGGTATTCTTCCCGGCAGAACCACTCCGGATGGGCAGTACGCTTACGGAGAACGGCCATAACAATGTCTCTCTTGCTCTGAGCTCTCTCAGTTTCCACCAGTGCTTTCGCTAACGCCTTACGCATACTGCTGAGCTCGTGCTGAATTTTAGTCACTGAATCGCTTAACGCGTCCACACAAAGAATCGCGTTTCGCTGGATGCTGGCCGCACAGTCCTCAACATCACGGGTGCTATCCAAAACTGCACGCTGCAAACAGAAACAACACCTGGTCAACGGTCAACCCCTATTCTTTTTTTCCTTTTTTTTCCTTTTTAAAAACTACCCCATTAAAATCCTTACCGCATTTTCGTAGAACTGATTACGTTCATCGGCACTTCCGGATGCTGCAATCACCAGAAGCTTACGCGCCGCCTCAGGGGCGCTCGTATACGGGGCAGCCGTCATTAGCTTGCGCCACTCATTGTTCAATTGCTACAAACGTAAGAAAAAAAACAAGAATAAATTAAAATAACCTTCAAGAAAAAAACTGTAAACGGTTCCAGAATACAAATAATTTTTCACTGATATAAGAATATAAAATTTTTAGGTTTAGAATACGATTAAAAAGTTTTTTCGTTTTAAAATAAGGCTGAAAATTGTTTGCATTGAAATAAGGCTGCAAAGTTTTTCGCACTAAATTAAGTGAAAAAAGTTTTTAGACTTAAAATTAGATGAAAAAAGTTTTTCAGTGTAAAATAGGGCGGCAAAAAGGTTATCGTTTCAAAATAATGCTAAAAAGTTTTTCGCATTAAAATAGGCGTCAAAAGTTTTTCGCACTAAATTAAGTGTAAAAAGTTTTTCGACTTTAAATTAGGCGAAAAAGTTTTTCGGTGTAAAATAGGGCGGAAAAGTTTTTCGGTTAAAAATAAGTTTTTGAGCTTAAAATCTGTAAAGAAAAGTTTTTCAGTTTATATAAGGCGGAAAAAGTTAATCGCATTAAATTAAGTGAAAAAAGTTTTTAGATTTAAAATTAGATGAAAAAAGGTTTTTGGGTGTAAAATAGGGCGGAAAAAGTTTAACGTCTCAAAATAAGGCTAAAAAGTTTTTCGCATTAAAATAGGCATCAAAAGTTTTTCGCACTAAATTAAGTGTAAAAAGTTTTTCGACTTTAAATTAGGCGAAAAAGTTTTTCGGCGTAAAATAGGGCGGAAAAGTTTTTCGGTTAAAAATAAAAATCATAAAATTTTCCGCATTAAAATAAGCGTAAAAAGTTTTTTCGCATTAAATTAAGTGTAAAAAAGTTTTTCGACTTTAAATTAGGCAAAAAAGTTTTTCGGTGTACAATATAGCGGAAAAAGTTTTTCGGTTTAAAATAAGGCTAAAAAAATTTTTCGCATTAAAATAAGCGTAAAAAGTTTTCTGCATTACATTATGTGTAAAAAGTTTCTAGGCTTAAAATTGGATGAAAATAGTTTTTTCAGAATAAAATAAGTCAGCAAAACTGTTGTCGTATTTAAAATACGATAACAAAATTCTTCAGGACAAAAAGTAGGTAGATCACTACAAAATCATTTCGGGTTGCTTTACCTTGTTCAGAGACATGGTCAGCTTGCGAGTAGTACGCCTTGCACACCTACAGAACGATCACACAAATATCTCGTTACTCGTTACAGCAGCCAAACATGCGTACCAACTACTTACAACACGTACAACAGGTGGGATGAGATGGGTACACACGGAACAGGGGCGGGCAGAATTACGGGTTCTTCCAGATAACGCAAATAAATCCAGGTCGTTGTGTAGCGGTGGTTATGCTAATACGCTTTGTAAGGGAGCATGTACGGGTCGCCAAGTGCGCTATGCTGCTGTATGCAGCGGTACCACATGGCCCAGTACCAATGTGTGTGTCTGTGTGTGTGTAATCTACCATGCGGATCTTTATATGGCTATGGTACGGGACCGAAGTCCCTTTCCGCATGCTACGGAGCTGTCGCTTGCTGAAATGCAGCGTGGAGTTTCTTTGATTTTTATTAACACAGCAAGCACACAACCAACAATACCAACAATATGTACTAATATTGGCCCAGAGTGTGATCTCATGTATTAGCCATGACAGTCAAACGGAAACATTATTATTGCCGCGGTGATTTCTTATGTGGGGGCATGGGAGAATATATTACATTATTACCGAAGTATGATTTCTTGTGTTGCGCATGGGAGGAATATTAAACTTTGTATGATTTCATGTGTTAGACAATGGGGATCTTTTCAGGTACCATACAGTATCATCACAATATTTTTTCCGTATTTTTCTGATTTTTTCCTGACGTTGTATATTTTTTCGAAATTTTTTAATTTTTTTTTAAAAAATGGGACGTCATCCCGGGACGCTCTTATCAGCGTCCCACATCTAAATGCCGGTCGAGACAGGCATATTACTACTGTGCCCTAACCTTAGGGTCCCGAACAAGCCAAGAAGTGTTGATGGATATACAACTTGAAATGAAGGACTCTTACAGTTATTTATATATTGTTCGTAGTAAAAGTGTTTTCCCGTGATAATCGTTTCAAAGAAGCCCAAGGATTGTTCTGGACAGGCCGGGACAGATATAAAATTTATCTACACGGATGTACAATAGCGCACGAAGAAATGCAAGTAACACTATCAAAATTCCATTAAGTATATCGGAAACCTGTATCAGATAAAATAGTTATGGGCAAAAAAATACATGGAAACTCATGTTATAAGGAACAAGCAGATACTGCTAAAAATTGTTATCCACCCCCTTTTGTTTTTTCTTTGAAATTTCGCTCATGGTGCAGCTGCAAAGGTCGTTGGTTTCGCCATCCATCAGAACCCCTTCAATAAGCGAACTGCACCGCAGACAGCCGAGAGTACCAGGAAAAGTCGAGAATCAACTATAAAGTATGACGCATAAGTCATGTATTATTACAAACACAGTGCGCTGATACGATTTGCTATACAGTTTGGTATACCTCAACGTTTTTTGCATTCCATATATTTTCACAATGTGGATTCGCGTACTGGACACCAGCGACACGGCATTCGCAGTGAAGTTGCACATGGCCACAACTTTTCGAAAATTCATTACGTGCTACTTACTCGAGATTAATAAAAAATTATCAGGTTTTCTAATGTGGAAGAACGCAGAGGATACCGTGCTTCTGGTGACCGGTAAGTGAACCCATATTGTGAAAACGTCCGGAACGCGAAGAATGCCGAAGTATGTAGCTTTTTACGCATTAAAGCATGCAACCAGTGTCTGCAAAAACCCAGTGCACGTCAAACGAAATTTGACTATAATTATCGTACCGGTTGTCCTGGTTGTGCGGTTGCAGAGATCGCCAGCGCAGTTGCATTGTGTAGCGCTCGCCGCTGGACCAGCAGTCATGGGAGCACACTTCATGTTTTCGGGAGTTAGTGTTTCCCTTCCACAGTCTTGCCGGTTAATTTCGAATTTGTTGGCTGCAATTTTAAGGTATCGGAATTAACAACAGAAGACATGGGATTTTAAAAAAACCAGAACTTTTTACTAGTACGGTACGTAATCTACCCACAAAATCAGCCAAATTTAACAAAAAAATGGAAATTGAAAGCAAGGTAAAACATTTGACATGGAAAATCGTTATCTAGATTCATAACGGAAAATTTAAAACGAATATAATTTTTCGAAAATTCTTCTTTGCTTTAACACTGAATATTTTTGTTCGGCACGTTCCTGCACGGAAATCAGCAGTGCATCGAGGTACCACCATCTGCACCGAGCTGATTAAAGCTTACGGGTGGTAAACTTGATGGTTTCACGGTAGCAGTTGTTGACTTTCGGGTCGCAGTCCTTCGGCTTGGTGTTGAGACAATTCGCCGTGATATCTTTGTAACCAGCGGCAGGCACGTCACCGGAAGCGTAGATACAGTCGTCATAGCATTTGATGGTGTGACCTAACCAAAACAGAAAAAAACTTATTGTACTTCTTTAACAAGCCGATATAGGCCAATAAATCGTGTCTAAAATTAATGAGCAGTGCGAAGTGCGTACCCACAGGATCACTGATACAAAACACAGGATTGGATGACGTAAATACATAATCTCTGTACTTACTGGCGTCCTCTTGATGGTGTTTTACGCAGTAGCTGCACACAGTGCTAATACTACGCGATATATATCGGCGCATTTTACCGCACACTTTAGTATTTAAAACTACTTATATGCTAAATGCAGATACTAGCTTGTCCCGTAATTTCCTATCTCTTCAATGTAGCGATAAGTACAAATTCACGGGTAACGCTAACCTCTATACTATGGGGCGCCACGCCCCACCTTTTAGCTGCACAATTAGCACAACCAGTTCATGCCAAAAATCGATTAAATGACACAAAAATTCGATATGAATTATAAAATATTAAGTTTTTTCCTTTATAATTATATTAAAGCTTTGAGTGTTCAGAGGAAAATATTTACCATTATAGCAGACGTAGTGTAGTGGTGCTAAAAAAATGTGATCGGTCACCTTTACAATAGAATTTACGGAACAAGCCTGTGCAGACACTAAATGTACTCGTGCTTACAACACACAGCATTTGATTTCAAATGTCTGCTTTTAAGTACCTGTTTCTAATCCAGCGAAAAGCAGGGTTGCGAGTAAGGCTGACTTCCAGTTGACGGTCATCTTGAGCGGGATTTTATAACGTACTTTATTGATTAATCGAAATTTAATAGGTCAAATCCAAATACGAAGTCAAAACGTTAGTGATTAATAGTACGTAACAAGCTGAGACAATTACAATGCGTATTCCTCCGAATTGTGATAGGTGCAAAATTACAAAACATATACAGTACTATTGCAGTTGTTGGATGTTAAAACATATCATAATATTATTCATAATACACATTTTCCAGGTCACTCGAAAGCAGGCACAGTAATATCAAAATTAAATGTAAAAAAATGGTTTTTTATACCGTTACTAGGCTACTGCACAGTGTAACTGCGTGACAGGATAAGTCTGTTGAGTTTTTTCTTGCCCAATATTTTCGCGATTTTCTAGAAGTGCTGATACTGTATCTGTACCTTATTCGTCGAAGTGAAATTTTGAACAAACGGTTCTTTTGGATTTAAATTGTCGGAGGTTCGTTGTTCGTGCGAAAGATTTCCTTCTACTCGTAGACAATCGTAGTGCAGACACAGCGGTCAAAGTGATCAGATTGATCCAGCGAAACGCCACGTAGCATCCCTTAGAAAATAGCATCATAGCGTTTTACTCACGTGTTAATTATTAACGGCATTATTAACTTGTTAATTAAATTGTGGTAAATGCTCAGATTTTATTACGAACACCATTATAATACAAAGTAATTATTGTTAGTGGCCGACTCTGGCCAACCATAATGGCAAATGCAGATTTCATGACAGCAGTAATTGCTAAGCAGGTTATCGCTAACTTCGGGCATATCTCCAGAACATCAACCCTGTTCACTGGAAAAAGGAAAAAACGGAATGCTATGATTAACGGTGCAGCCGCAGATTGCAAGGTCTAGCAGAAGATTAAATAAATACTCGTAACAACAGTTACAAATGCACAGCATAGCAAGAATAAAAAGCAGAGCGCTTCGGCGCGACCTACGTTTTAGGGCATTTAGGACAATCCAGCTTCTGCCGATTGTGTGCGATTTAAAAATCGCACTTGCTTTACTAAGTATTCGTCCAGTATATGTGCAGCGCTAATGGACTCAGCAGCCGACGTGGACTTGAGAAATCTGGATATATCGCCGATATATCCATATGCCTCAAGTCCACGTGATTCCAGTGCTCTGGATGGCCGTCAGGACCGACACTGCTGCATCTTAATGAACTAGAAGCTGTCGTATTATACTAATTAACCAATCACGAGAGAAACATCCGGAAGCCGGTCTATCGATCGGGATAGTTGAACGTGCCCACCTAGCGTGGATGCATCGTCTTTACCGTTGCGTAAATTATCCGTCCAACGGGCCGGCAGGGATCCTTGAGGTAACGAAGCGTTGAGCCAACGCCGCCGTTATTGTCCGTCAGTAAGGAGCTGCAGCTCGTCACAGACGGACAACAACGACGCCATCCTTTGGCCTGCAAATTTCCCGGTCTGCGCATTCTTGGTGAGGTCCAGTAAAGCCTGTCCCAGATTCTACGCGACATCTCCGCCATTCTGGACAATAAGTAGCGACCGGCCGTCTGCAGTCCGTACATATTGCCAGGAATGGCTGTAAATGTCATGGTACATGTCCGGACCATAGTGACATCGCAGTCGGCCGTACTTGAAAGTCACACTGCGAGGCGTTGCGAAGGGTCGACGTTCAGCAGGGTGACCAGTTTTTGCGCAAAACCCAGTTTGGTCCGCTTGCGGCAAAGAGTACTGCAGATCTCAGCGAACTGACATCGAAGACCCGGTGAGGATCCGCTTGGGCTCCTGCAGGGTTGCCCTCCACAAGGACCCTGCACAGACAAGTACAAACACGCCATGGGTACATTATCGATTCGTGGTGAGTGTTTTTTAAATTTTAAAATGATTTTCACAATTTTTTACAATTTAAAAACATGGCAGAACCTAGTTCGGTGAAAAACCAGTCTTCAAGCCAATGTGAGTTGTCGGGCATCATTTGAGAGAGAGCGGTCCGTTTTGGAACACAGCCAAACTACGCAACCGGATGTTGCCACTATACCGGCCCCACCGAAACTTTTATTTTATAAAAAATTCTGCCCGCCGAAAAAAATTACCTCTCCCGGAATAAGCCCGTTAAAACTTTCAGAGGTGCAAATGCGATAATTACGGTTTTTCCACATAAGCGGATTATTTTAATATTTTATTAATAATGTCTGTGATAAGAAAAACAGGTAGAGTAGTGCTTGCCATGCGCTAAGCCTAAGCATTAAGCATTGCGACCAAGCACCGTGTGACAGACAGACAGACAGACAGACAAAAGTAAGTCCTTTATTTTTTGCTAAGTAAATGGTGGAAAGAATGATATTTTTTAGCCGGTTGCGCAGTTACATCGTAGAACTGCTTGATTGAACGGAATGCAGAAAAAATTGAATAATTACGAGTAATTACAATAATAATTTTGATTAACACACTTTGAACACACCATCACCATCACTCACCAAGATGGATTGGGACGACCCCACGATTCCGTGTGATGATGGCGCCGGCGTTTGAAGATTGCTGCTGAGCGAAGTAGTCCTGGCAGGCTTCCGTCAGAGATTCCTCATTCCAGGACACTTTGCTCTGGGCGGGGCGGTGCCCTTTATGTGTGCCGAATTGCTCCTTTTGCACGCTGCTCGGCGCACACAAAGGTCACCGTGTCGCTTCCCAGGCGAACAAATCCCCGGCAGTCCACGTTCAGCACATACGACAAATATTACATTATTTTATTCGGCAGCAGCACAGTGCACAGAACAGTATGCTGGCGCTGTGTACACTGCCTAACATATGATTTACAACAGATTGTGCATCCAACAGAAGAATTGCATACCGTTCTCCTTCACCCACAATTCGAGCCGTTCAAGCCGAAAATTCTCGGTGTACACACATCGTCATCACGGCCCAACGTTAAACGGCACGTTTGGCATGGAAGTCCACATTACTCCGCAGAGGCGCCTGATCGAAGCCGGATTTGTGCCAGTGGTATTGGAGTCCGCCCCGGCCGTCGGAAGGAGTACAGATCGTCGTCACGCACTGGTAGTTTAGCCACAAAGAGCGACCGATGGATGAAGGGGGCGGAGGTCAACTACACGTCGTCCAGGTCGCCGTAGTCGCTGTAGGGCTGTTCCCCCTTCTGGAACATCTCCTACACCACCACACCACGCCGAAGCTCCACTGCAACACAGGACAGTTTACGGGTACACATACAGAAAATTGGCGGTTCGGCTTGCGCCTGATCAAGTTACACTCGCTGAACTGACCACGTTGGATTCGGTGGAGTAAGGACTGCGGGCGCAAGCGTTCCGGCGCGTTCGAGCGGTAGGGGAGACGCGTCTTTGATCGGAGGTTGCAGTAGAAGTTTGACTCGGAAAGGTCGCGGGGGTGCCCAAAATCTGCGATGTGCACATCGATGCACTCTATGTGCACATCGCAGATTTTGGGCAGACGAAAGTCACAAATAAACGGGTCGGGGCAGATTTGGCGGCAGTGGGCCAGTTATAATGGATCCACTACCACCAGCTCTGCCCTTAACCCAGGAAAACCGGGTACTAGAAGGGATGGGACTACGGTTTTGAAAATTGGCAGTCTGGGACACAAAGAGAAAAATAAAAAATAAGAGAAAAAAGAGAAAAATATTAAGAGAAAAATATTAAGATATATATTTTAAGAGAAAAATAATAAAAAAACTAACAGAAAAATTAAGAGAAAAATATTTTTTTCGAAATTTTAAGAGAAAAATATTAAGAGAAAAAGAGAAAAATATTTTTTTCGAAATTTTAGCGACCGCAGGTCAAGCAGGAGATGACCATGTCGGCCTAACACGCATGGTAACCATGTTGCGCCGACAAGTTATAATTGCTGTTTAGAACAACCGATAAAAAAATCGCATAGAATATGTCAATAGCTCAAACGATAGATCTCAACGAGTACATCACTACAAGTGCAATGCGATGGTCATCGGAATGACCAGTGGTCAAGAAAAACTTGAAAACAAAAAATCACTAAAATGCAACATTACACAAGTGCTAATTGGATATTTCGCAACATTTGGTCACTTCTGCTTATGTTTTGGACAACTGGTCATCGACCTTAATGTGGATCACAGTATGAGTAATATGTACAGTGGAAGTAATGCTATATCCGGCTATACAACTGAACGGGATAGCAGAGATAAAGAGCCGGGCTGGTTCTGGAAAAAGTTCACCATCGTTAATATACCGGTGGTCAATTCCTTGAAAGTGTTTTACAAACGACCAGTTGTTGGGAAATTAGGGAATTTAGCACATCAAGGTCAGTAAAGTTCTGCCAAGCCTGTTATATATACCTGCGTCAGAACATGTACAAAACAAACAAATTTTGGTGTTTAGAAAAGAAGACAGGACTTCTCAGTCACTTCAAATATGCGTTATATTCTCAGCTTCGCACAGATTGATTGCTACAAATTACAAGGCATGCCGTATGAGCGCTCACAGACCGGAAGGTCAAAATGTGTGCTTGATGCAAAGGCACAAGCGTCACTAGCACAGTATTAACGCGAGATAAATAACTTTTACATGACTTCTCACTCCTTGCTACAGTTTGTTTCAAATAAAATTTGCAAAGAATATACGAGTTGTTCGATGAACAATGGAGTAGCCAGCTCGAAGCACAAGGCATGATGCCAATAATAGCACTCCGCACACAAGCAAATGCACTGTATTGCCGATATAGCCGAAACAGTCGTTCACGCAACTCTTCCGGTCCGTCGTTCAGTCGTTTATGCAGTTATTTTGTAGGTAGTACAGGTCATAGCCATTGCGAAGATACCGAGAGCAGTCATTACACAACTGTTTCGCATTTTTTTACATTGATTTTCATGGCGTTTAGTCAAAAATTACATGTTTTGGGTTTCCGGCCTGTGCTGACCAGTGGTTACTTCGCTCACCACTATGCTCCAGTCAGTTAATACAGCAATTTATGGGCTTTCTTTTGATTGTTTATCGTACCATGTACGATGCTTCTGTCAATTGATTTGAATTTTTAAAGAATATTAATTATTTATTACCGTGTCCAACCGTGTCAAAACCAGTGGTGTCCCGTTTACAATTTTTCATGTCCCGACCGCACTTTCCCGATCAGAAACTTTCCCGCACCCGCACCCGCTCCCGAGCGCTCGGACAGTCCCGCACCACGCTCCGACTCCCGATTTTCAATAAAATAATTTTTTTAACCATGTTATTGTTACAGCCTTTTTTGTTAAAATGCTTCAAATAT